TTACTATTTTATTGCTACTTATTAGTATTGTTATTACACGTATTATTTGTATATCATTTTATGAAGACTTCGTTCCACAGACGAACCGTAGAGGCCTCGCTCATATAAATGGATTCGTGTTTCTCTATATACAAGTAGTAATGTATTACTATTTAATGCAAAAGACTCGGTCATTAAAAAGAGATTATACAGTTAGAAGTGCCTCATCCGGTAGGCCACGTGACAATTAAATTCATCATATTCAAAATCGAGAGGCACCTGGGCCAATTGAAGTGAAAAGACCACTTTAAGTAAAAGTAATTACTTCTACCATTTTCAGTGCAGGAGCATCACCATTATAAGAGGACCTACCTATTCCAAGCAGGGAAATTTTTTCTAGTAAAATGTTGTATCGTTAAGAAACATTTTTTACAGATTCGGTGGAAATGCATTTGAAGCCAAAATATGATCTTTTATTAAGTGTATACGGATACGCTATCACATACTATCCGTTTGAATGCAAAGTGTCATATACTCACAAGTATTTTGCCCTATCTCGCGTTCTGAATGCTCGGTGGACTAAGCTTCCAATGTGAAAAATCCTTGATGTGAGTTTCATCCGCCAATAAGGAAAACGTAACTTCAAAATTTTGCAGATAGTTATTCCTCTCGTAATCTGCTGATCTCAATAGTGTGCCGCACCGTCAGAACAGCGTATTTCGGGAGTGGATATCTATCTCTTCTGTTTGCCGTACACCAAAACAAAAGCTACCGATTACCTACTTTCAGAAGTTGCAGTATGTTTTTACTGCTCAGAATCTATGTCAGTACTTTAGCCTCATTGGCTTACATTTTATTGATCGTACCAATCTCGTAGAGAGGCACGTGTACGTCTTTGCGAAGACTGCGTATGAGACACCGCCTAAGCATGGCTTCTAAGGAACTTTGGAAAAACCGGTAATTCGATCGCAAAAGGAGTCGCACCATGGCGCTCTGGCCTAGGAACAGCAACTGGCACCAAACAACCTCCTAGGTCCAATCCCCAACGATTTGATTCTCTCAAGGAAAAAATAATGGCCAAACCTGTCGAGCATATGCGCGAAATCGAACTGACTGTATCATATGCACAGACGGAGTGCGATTAGATGCGCAAACGCGTTCATGGCCTAAGTCTAGGGATTGTGCGCCATTAGACCGTTCTGTTCAGAAAGCATGCTCCCTAGGGATCATGCCGGTTATTTGATGCTGGAAAGTGGTAAACAGGAACAGACGTCGCAACAGATTTTCGGAGTAGTAAACGAACTATTCGACTCTTAAAGCTTTAAGTTAAGACAATAGACGAAGGGTACCTCGAAAGAGCAAGCAGCTCTCTTAAAAAAAGTTAGCTGTGTTGCATCTAACATGCAGTGCCTGCACTCACGCTTAATCCTACAGGGTTCTACAGAGAATATCTAGATAGAAGAATAGAAAGAATTTGACGCCACTAAAGCACGCATTGGTTTTTTTTGCGTAAGTTCATTGAAAGTTGGTTTATTTGGCTATATGTACCTATACACATTCAAAACATCCTAGCTTCTTCAACAAACGCGGATCTACCCTTACGAGTCAGTGCAGCTATGCTATCATATGGAACAAACTTTTATGAAGCAGGTACATCGATTCCGTCTTCACGAAACGTACGAGACGGTCCGTGTGTTAGTCAACGTATCGCTTGATTATAGCACGAATGATAACTTACCTGAAGGCGAAGAAGCAGTGGTGTGGTGAGTAATAAAGCAGTTTATTAAATGAGCGATAGTATTGTTATGCATGATACTCTTCCTTGCTGAGTTGGACTCAAACATGCATCAGTGCCAATCCATTGGTTTTAAAAGAACGATCACTGCTGCGTGACCGGCGTCAGTATGCTAGCTTTTCACCCGTGTTATGAAGTGCTATACTTCCTTGACTAAGGAACGCATAAACAGTTGTGCTTCGTGTCAGCAGTCTAAATGCTGGCTCAGTGTTAATATCTGTACCATCATTGCTAGAATTCGACAGAGGCTTGCAATGGTCACAGTGAAGCGTATTGAATACTTTAGCTTCTTTGAGGATATCTCGAAGTCCAGTGAACTTCGTTCAACACGAACTTAAATCTCATACAATGCTAGGCCCATACCTCATCGAAGTGACATGTTTATCACAGTTTGGGGATCCTCTGAACTCATGGGAAGGCTTTTTCGTTGTGGAAGAAACACATTTTTATAATGTTGCTGCATTTACGACCTGTCCTTGTCCTATCGGACCAGCACTAACACAAACTAAACAATATAAACAGCTGACGTTCTTCGTTGAGGAAAAAGACAAAAAACCTTTGATGGCTAGTAAAGCGGCTAGTAAAGTATGGTTTCGAGAAACAGACCTTACGACGACATAAAATAATTTCAAGTTACAGGACATCCTTGCTGTTATCGCATTGAAACCCCTTTTCCCTCTTGTCGTCCGGGCTGGGATGAGGCAGGTTCTCGCGCTTTTTCTCTTTTCTGTTTATATAATACTGCGTGTCACTTGCTTCTAAGTAGTCCCAAGAGCAGGAGAAGCGGCCGAGAAAGGAGCAAACAAGGACAACTACTCCTGGGTGCACGAACAATGCCACCTACTATCCAAACTTAGCCCAGTTCTACTCCTAGTAAGGCCCTCGTCCCTTTCGATCTGCCTAGCCTGACTAGGATTGTCCTCTTATCCATGTAAGATATGTATCGCTCCCTATATGATATTCCTCAGTATAGTACCTTTTCTGAAAACTCTGTGACTCAAACGGTTGCCTAGTCTAAAACGAACTGTTAGCTGGAGTAATGGTGGATTTAGTTCGAGGGGAGCGGCCTCCAAGACTTGAGGCCCATGCAAATTCAAAAACCGATATTTGACACGTACAGCAGTAACACAAACAATAACATCAGTATCAAGGTGAAGTAACAGTATCAGCAATACCTGCTTTTATCCGTTTACTTGACACACGGGAGTCCCAGCCTGTTGTGTACCATTTGAACTACAACAAGAGGGAAAGCCGACAAGAGAGAAGATGTATATTGCGTATAACATGGAGAACTGCGAAGGAAATCCCGAAGGAAAAAACAGCGGCGAAGCTCTCGTTATATTACTAACAATTGGTGATTTATGGACGCTATAGCTCTCGAAAATCTACTGCCATTGGCGAGCATCGTACTATGAAAGCTGTTGATTATATTTATCACCTATTATTGGTATCCGTTGTTGGCACTGGTAGCCGATCAATATCCGAACGTGGACAATAGATTTTTCGCTGATTGTATACAGAATAACAAATAATGCGCCGAGCCAATACGTATCGTATCGTATCCTCGTGTCTGTTATTATTAAAAAAAAAAAAAAGCAAATGGATTTAAAATTGAACAACCGTCATCACGCACCTTTCGGTGCTCTGACTTCTCAACCTGCTAGATTGTTATCGAATGAATATATACATACTTGTCTATCTTCTTTAGAGCAGACATTTTCTTTAATACGACTTCGGCCAACGTACGCATATACAAAGCAATTAATTGCAAAGTTAGGACCGGCACGTTATCGGGTAACTACGGTAGCCGATAATGCCAAAGTGCATATCGCAGCGTGCATTTCACCACTGACCGAATAGAACTACTAGGACTAAGGCAAACATTGAGGGTATAGGCGATTATTACGTTCCGTCGGCTTATTACGTCTCGAATAACGTTACCGCACGTCTTTATTATAGCAAAAGGTACCAGCGTTCTTGAGCGAGAAGCAGAAATACGATGGGTGCTCAAAATCACTAGATGTCTTGACCATTTTGGGCTTCTTTTTTTACTGCACGCAAAGGCATCGTACAGTCTCAGGTGTACTTTAGGAGCAATGCAGTAGCTGCACAGAACGATACCCACTGCCAAGCAGACAGGGGCAGCAGACCCAGCAAAAGATACCTATTATGTTTGGGCGAGATCTCTACTTTTTCAATGCGATTGGTGAAGCTTACGCGCTAACTAAGTCAAACTTGATCTTTAAACAATAATAAGATTAAACATGCGGGAAAACTAATTCTCGAAGGTTGCATCGCAGCGATGATTGCTAGAACCTTCAGACAGGTAATACGTAGAGCGTTTTTTATTTACTTTCAAAAAATGTCTCAGCGACAAACTCTGCGAAAATTTCATTCGCAGCGATACGTGAGACAAAAGCTAAAGTTATCAAGTAACAAACGGAAACTACAGTACGTATAGACCCACTAAACTGATCAACAAAAGATTGATTTCACAGTTGTCTAGTATAATTGTACTAGAATTAAAAAAGTTATTTTATCCGTATCAAGAGGTGAGATAGAAGATCGGTAAATAACCATGAGAAAGTGGTATTAGTTTATATGAACATATACTATTGTAAAGGGATGTCTTGAAATGATCAAACGTTTAATTTCAATATGATAAAAAAAAATAAAATCCTAATTGCAAGAAGCAAATTAAGCGGTTAATGCGCTATCCGATTGGTTGGGTAACATAAAGTTCTGTCACCTCGAACCTCACTCCTTAATTTTCAAGTTCGCAAAGTACAAATACTTGTATGCTATATCTTTTCGTTTAATCGCATATATCGTACAATATTTATGGATAACGGGACCTCACTCAGTAACCCCTGGCTTGTCAGACTATGCCAGAGCTTTGTATTGTGTTGGCCAAGATTCTAGAAGTTGACATTTAAGAAGAAGACGAAACACGGTACCATAGCTGACTCACACATTTAAGGCGTGGCTACATTATTTTCGTAACCTGACGAAACTCTGTGAAGTCTTCTTATCTAGTCGACTAAAATGTTTGTTTCTTTACTTTCTGTTCAAATTAATTGTAACGTCTGTTTTTTCTCCTTGTCTGAAGTTATGAGGACAAAGTGTATGATACAAATAGTATTCAACCTGGGGTCCCTTCGTTATTAAAATCAAATAAAGAAGTTACGAAATTGGGCTACAATGGTTAGCGTCGTTCAAGAAGCTAGCTGTTAAGTAAAAGTTGCCAATTTCGCAGAGTAAGTGTTGCGGTAAACGCTTTAACAGCATTTTTTTCGGGCTCGTGTCCCAACGAATAACAGATACTTCGCTTCGGGTAAGTATGAGAGATGTATTTTCTAAGCAAGGCAATAATCAGTTTAACAGCGAGCGGCTAACCTATCCAAGCAAGGTTCCATTATTGTCAGGCCTCTAGGTTCCTACCTATGCATATGCACGCAAAACAGGAGTACTCCTTCGATAATATTGAATTTCACTTTTTTTTAGTTTTTTCTTGCTCGACCCACTTAGTTGTTGTTCTTTTCCATTGGGCGATCGAACGGGTACCACCGGAGACGCAGATCTTGCAAACTCAATAGCCCAAACAGTCAATAATCTCATTCAGCCATTATAGAAGGAAGTGCGGGATCAAAATAAGACTAGAAGACTGGAACACAAAACTTAACTACTCGAGCTTTAGAAGATAATGAAAAAAGCAAACTATCAAAAAAATTTAATTTGGCATTTTCCTAATAATGAGTTCTCTAGACTTTAATTTTGCCTAACCGTTAGAGTATATATAGTTGCTCAATCACGTACCCTTACGGGGATTATTAAGGCTTATCTTTAGCGACACTTCAAACTCTGGCTGTGTTTCGACCGTCAAGCGGTCTTTTCACAGGCCAAATCGAAATTTCACTAACGATAGCTATTCAAATCTGCAACTAAACCAAAGTTCTTACCATTTTTTTATAAATTTATTTCGGTTACAGATGAGATTAGCAATGATTGCGGCTCTTGTTGGAACTTTACTTGTTACGGAGGCTTATGGCTGGAATAGTATCAGTTATGCAGGTGTACTTCACGACAATTTCTGGCTTAGTCTGCACAATAGAGCTGCAGTATGTCACTCACCTGAAACAAATTGCCATAAGTTAGAGAATCCCCGTCAAGCCATTCTCTGGACAGTACGTGGCTTATGGCCAATGAGAGGTATATATAGCGTGATCCGACAATGATCATGGACAAAACGTAGAAACCTGATAGCAAACCTTAACCCAGGCTTTTAAAGAGTTAGCTATCAAATAGCATTCAAAGTTTAGCATATATGTAAGACTGTTTATCTCATCAAGATATTGACACAAAATATCCACTTGTGCGCATTGTTACCATGATATGAAAACATGGTATATGCACAAAGTACATAAGTAGGTGTTTTTGAATCTTTCTTTTTTTGAAAAACCGGAACCGTAATCGTAAAAAACCGTAAAAAAAACGTAATCGCTTATTTGAAATCAAGTAAATAAAGCTTTGGCAAAATATTGTGACACGAAGCAGGGTACGTGGAGATTTACTGTGATAACAACAGGCATCTATACTATTAATGCATACATATGCGTTATGCGTCCGCAGGGCATAGAAATTTTACGTTTACGAGCCCCAACGACACATTCCACATCGACGAAATCAAGTGTATCCGTGACGACCTCAATCGCTTCTGGCCGAGTCACAACAGCAGTAACGAAGTCTTGTGGGCGGACGAGTTCATGGAATATGGAACATATGCAATCTATCAGGGTACAAAGGTCACAAACGCGCTCGAATACTTCAACGTTACCCTGCAGCTGTATAAACATTTTGACATTTCTAAATGGCTAACAACTGGGCACATTTCGCCCAGTAATAAGAAACCGATTTCCAGAAGAGATATCCAAAATGCCGTTTCCCTACGTTATAGTAGTAGTTTCTACTTATATTGCCAAGGTCAAAAAAATGGCATAGATATACTTTGGGAGATTCGGTTATGTTTTGATAGTAACCTTCAGCCGGCATCAAATTGTATCCCACCGGAGATGACCTGCCACACTTGGGGTGTCTGGTACCTGGAGGATTCGCTCATCAGCAAAGGTACCCCTAGCACGACGTTTGTAGTAGCAGTTACAATGATAGCTTTATTCATGTCAAGAAACTAGATTCGACAAATGAATTTAAGTAATTTGCAGTTTTAGCGTTTCAAATTAATACTCTTATATAGTTTCAGCTCAGGGAACAAGGTGTGTATGTAACATATTGTTTCGGTCTCCATTTCAAAAGAGTAGCCTAAACGTTTGCTACTGGACGACACACTTAGAAACCAAAAAAAAAATACACACATATATAAAATGTTATTAGAATAATACAATTTACACTTCCCTCTTATTAGATGCCTCCACCACCGAGCCATATTGAAAGTAAGATTAGGAGAAACACTAAGTTCAAGTCATGACACTGAAATTACAAAACAGATAATTTAGTATAAGTTACTAAAGTCGAACGATGCTGATTTGTCAGTTCGTTTTAGTTCTGATGTCCTTTTGATCACTGTTCAAAATTTTAGTAAAGATGATTCCACAGATCCGATTTTTTGAGAAGGCTGAATAGATTTCTTTTGGTCAATTGTTATTATCGATTTGGCCCAGTTCTCTCCTAGCTCTTATTGTAGTAGTGTAGATGCAGTGCAGCCCGTTTTAATAGCACAATAATAAACAAATTTGCATAGTAAGCACCGTACTAGCATCGTCTACTCTTTACTGCCAATTCTAGGCTGTCTTCTGCAAACGCTGTAAGATCAAGCCAATTTGAAACGAAGTACTCCAAACCATTGCTGCAAAATAACTGGAATCAGATTGTTTTACGGTGTTTTCTGTCGCTTACTTTCGTTAAATTAACCTACCCGTTAAGAAATCGTATAGCTATCGACCTTTTTTTTACGTGTTCACGTAAGCAGGTAAGTTTTACGAAGTGATCGATATACGAGGGTTCTGCGACCTTTGATCCATTTGCTGCATTAGTCGTGATTAGTTCTCTAGCGTCAAGCTGATTTAGCCGTATTCTATAACACGATTAAAATTGTAGCATACAATATCTACACACGTACGTAGTAACGGTAATGATAAGAATGGTCGTGCGATTCCAATGCCACGTCTGAATGGAGTATTAAGTAGGGGAACACGTCCTTGATTATACGTTAGTAACGCTAAATAAATGAATTGTAGGCTGCCAATAAGTTGGTGAAGGGCCTATTAAACATACTGTGGTATATAATTTTAAGTTAACGTAAGATTTTTAGTTTTATTAGCGTATAATAGAAGATGTAGGTGTTCATTTTTATCCTATAGGATTTTATAACTGACTTAAGTTTTTTGCAGATACAACTAGCCGTCTCAGCACTCAATTAGTATCAAAGACCAATGCAAATGATTACGACTACAGGCCTACCCTTGAATCCGTCAAACATTAACTAATCTTTTTTATATAGTTGCACCAACATCTTCGATAGGACAGCAGTAGGTTTACACCATATTAGGACCACTGCAAGGCTTCTACGAAAGCCTAACTTATCAGTTATTTATCACTGTGGCATAACAGCATTAAGGGTATTACATTAAATCGTATATCGTAACTCATTCCATGATATTCTGCTTCAAAAAGCCTTCAGCGAGAAGCTTTCCCTCAGTAAAATTATTTAGGCTGAATTTAATAGATATCCTTTCTACAGTTAATAGCAAACTAATCTGCCCCAGCCCTATCGCTCGTCAATACGCTTTCATTGAGCGTTGACTCGAGCAACCAGAACGCTAAGCATGTTCGGCTTATTGTATGTGCACGTGTGGGTGTTCTTTGCGAATCCTTTTCATGACTTGTAATGGGAGCAGTCAACAGCTAGCTGGCGTTTCTTCGTTTACTCAATTGCAGGCATCCTGACCCAGGTAGAAGCGGACCACGTAACGCTGTCCACAATTTAGTTTTACCCCCACTCCTACTCATCATTGGGATAGAGATTTTAATTGCAAGGGGTCTTCAGCCCCTGGCCTTACACCTACTGATGGTAGGATATAATTTATCCTTCCGATAGGTCCTCTTGCTCAGTCGCCTAGTTTTCGCACCATTAATAGATCAAGAAGGTGACGAGAGCCGGGTCCAGGAGTAAGACCGCGGAGGATCGGTAGGCTAACCTAAGACCGAAGTCTGATCCAGGGGTCCTGCTGAGCTGGAGTGCGGCAGGTTTTTCCACTCATTCTACCGAGCTTCTTCTATAGCACATAGCACAGGTCGTCTTTCACCTACTGCTCTATTAGAATCGAGATGCTAGTAGGGTCGGGCTGCCTAAGCGGTAAGCAATCTACCAACCCGAACCGCTGAGATGGGCTGAAAGTGCGAGGTGCCCCAATAACTTCCCGTTGTGTTGGTTTTAGTAGAAATGCTCGTACGCGACTCCTCTTTTCTGGGTAGGACTAATTGTCTTCCGGGTCATCCGCTCGTTTCGGACCCGATTATTCCCCTTCTTTTTTTACCCCTTTGCCCTATTAAGCCTGTATTCTCCCCACAGTTATTTTTCTTGCCTCTGTATCCCTCCCCAAGGAATCGCACACTCTCAGCGCAGCCACTCCATATGCATACCCCGTCCTGACTGGCTATGTGCAGACATGGGCAGGCCCCTAGGAACCCAGACCAAGCGATTTACAGCATGACGGCAAAGCGTTGCTAACGGTCTTCTGCGGGCTGTACGTTATGCTAATACCACAAGCAGCATTACCAGAGTTCTCGGCGTCTCGTCCTGATTAACTCCTATTGGTCAGACGCCTGTCTCGGACAATTATACTCTTTGAGTATTGTTATTATTATTATGCAATGCCTTCAATCTGACAAGCAGTCAATCCTCTATCCAGTACCCCGTGGAGTATAAAAGAAAATGCGAAAAATAATGGTATATCATGTAACGAACCTAGATCTTGCGTATTCATAATGAATGCGGATAGTGCGGAGCCGCGGGTCGTACCCTCGCTGGCGTGAATATAAATGAGGTTGAGTGAATAGAAGAGCTGTAAATTTCTTCATTTTATGAGCAGTCAATGTCATAACGGGTCAATATTTGAAAAAAATGGCCGATTAGCAAATGTTTTGCTGCCACTGCCTGCGGTTACGTGTAGAAACTAATATTGCTTTATGTGCCAAGCTCCGTGACAAGGAATATAATGGATATATCATGAATATTAAGCGGAAGCTTTTCTCGCAGCAAAAAAAAACACAGGGAACTCATTCTCTCTGTGATAAATATACAGTGGACAGTAACATCTTTCACGACGATGTATAGAGTATTTATCCGAGTCCAAATTTCATACAATGGACCGTTGCTCCTGTAATAAAAGTAGGTGTTCAAACTGGAAGGAAGCCCAACTTCTTTGAACTTGGTAGTTAGTTGAAGTATAGAAAATTGCATTAACTTTACTAATATATCGAAAAAGTTTTTTTTTTTTTGAAACAATACAAGTTGTTTATTTATTTTCACACGTTTCTATCGGGTTATCTCTCCTTTCCTTTCCTTTTGCGTGTTATTCTTATCTTCCTTTGTTGTGGCAAAGTTTTTGTCTATCAAGCAACACAGTGACAAGTTACGTCACTGAAAGGCCAAAGAAAGCGAAGAGCTTTTTTTTCGCGGTATTTTTCTTCATGACGGTCAAGTCCGTCCGGAACTAGCCGGAGCGGGAAATTGGTCTTTACCCTCACACGAAGCTTGGGATGGCGATCAAACACTTAATGCCCCTATAAGTTCCAATAGAGAAGCGATGACTTCATGATGACGGCTAGGCGGCCCGCGGGAACGTAAAAAACCTACTGCCTTTGGGACATTTTTTCTCTCAAAAAGCATGTTCACAAGCCGTGTAAGTAGTCGACGGGTTTTAAAATACTTCCTGCATTTCCGACAGGCGAGTAGGTTGGTGCTGTGTGCTCCGGATAGGGCAGATGAAGGTTTTGTAGAAATTTTTATGTTGGCTAGGAGTTCGCTTGAGACAAATACACAGTGCCTTTGCGCAATTGTTCCTGCTGTCGGTGTGAATGATTAAAAAAGGACGACCACATTTAAAAAACCGATTCTTTTTTTAGCAAGTTAGTTTTTTGGCAAATTTTACTGACTTGGCCAATGCAGGCTGGCCTCCTCGAGAAAATTTAATATGGCTCATCTTTATAAAAGTTATTTGCATACAAAAACAACGTTCTATGATAAATGAACAAGTGAGTGGTAATAGTTGGCAACAAAATTTCTGAGCTTATTAAGTTTCGCAGTGATACAAGTATTGACAATGCGAACTTATTTGCTAAAAACTGATTTCTCGCTTATTAATTTTACCAAAATCATTGAGTGTTCCAAGAGCCGTAATTATCTCAAAGATAGTTACGTTTGAAATAGATTATTATCATTACAGGTTTCTTTCATTTCGTTGATCTTAGTCGTCGGCCCCTTTCACTAGTCTTACAAGTTCATTTGTACGTAATAATAGGCAACTTCCGAAAATATTTAGTAAAAGTCTAGGCTTGGAAACGTAAAACTGCAACGAGTCTCTGACCAGTTAACGCAAACTCTGATTAATAATACTTAAGCTTTCATTTAGCGAAGTATTCCGGATTGATGCCCACTTTAGCATAGTCGTTTAGTTCTCAAATACATTATTTATAATTACTTAACCTCGAACTAGAGAACTAATTCTGTTAGCCATTCAAGCCGCATTATTGCGATCGTTACTCTTATGTAACCACTTTACTGAGCAAAACCTTGTCTAATAACCACAAATAGGTAATCCTTGTCCCCTTTTTTGGCTTAGATGCCACTCCTGTCGCTGCTAAATGCCTCCGACATCAACGAGCCCTTCTCTGCGATGTAAGCACCGGTAGGTACTAGTTGTCGTTCAGTAAGCTTCTCCGTATTCTTCGTTGTCCACTCGGTGCCCTATAGTCGAGCAGGTACACCCAATCCTCTCGAGGACTAGAAAATTACGTCCACCGGTCGTGTCGCACAAGAGTCGACAATGTAGAATAGCCGTAATATATCACCACCTTTTAGTTTGCTGACGTATTGGTAGCAGATCTGGTGGAAGCTTTTTTTATTTAGAGGCTTACCTTTCGTTACTCCGTAGGTGAGAGGCGCTATGGCTCGAGGGCAAATTGCCTGGGGCATTTTGATTGTCATTTCGAATAGCAGCTGCTACTGTTAAAACCAGTGCATAATGGCTATTTTGTGCAGGCATGTCACCTGGTACTCCATTCATAACCTGTCCCACAATATTTATAGGTTCTCTTTGTCGTACTTCTGTTCCGAGTGCCGTCCGTCTACGCTCCCCAATCCACAGTATCTTCACAGTCGTGCTTTCACGGCGGAGTAGCTCATTGGGACGACCATTCGATTCAAGGTGCTAGTCGGATGGTGCTAGTGCAAAAAAAATAGAACTAGTAGGCACGAAAAACTCAATTAGTTTTTTTTATCCATTGGAAGCTAGACTTTTTAGAAGACCACTTGTTGACGCAAGAATCCGTGTACTAGGGATGAGCACCAGGAGCACTTATATTGAACTTACGCTGTGAAAGTCGAGCAACAGGTTAAATAGGCTGCGGTGGTCACCAAGGAGGCTTCGCAGGAGGTGATCACAATTTTATTGCATTAACATTTTAAACGTATGGTAATAAACGGATATATTACCACAAATTGCCTATAAATATTTTACTGTGGATTAACGTGCTATATGAGCAAGTATTCTGCACGTTTTGTCGCAAAACCAAATATTCCGATGTAAGAAATAGGTGCAAAGAAAGGAAATGTGTAGACATTCTAACTTAATACATTTTTGTCTAGGCAAGGAACGTTTCTTTTGGATGGAACGTGGAAATACCCCACACAGGAATGAGTAACTTAACTTAGGATCTTTTGTTTGACAATACACGATACGAACAGGACAAAGGATGTCACAGTTATCCGTTTAAGTTTGTACATGTCCTCGACTACGGAACATCAAAGAAAATCAGTGTAAAAGGGCCAGAGGATACAATTTGCAAAGTCCATTGCAAGATTTTCACTCAACAAGAGAAGCTCTTCAGCTGAATTCGAGTGGTATTTTCTTTGTAAGCCCTTTCTTACATTATAGTCTTTATTGTGCCACAAGCACTAGGTGAGTACGCGCTCTGATTTTACTCATTTTAGGTCATGCGGCGCTATTTGTTCACGAAGCGAAGCGCACAGCCCTAGAGGTAGATCGATGTTTGCCTTACTACAAATCGCCCTTTGCAGTGCTGACGATGTTCCTGCGATGTCGACTGGATTTGTCTTTTGTCTTAGAAGCTGCTCTATGGACTATTCTATATGGCTGAAAGACATGTTTGTCTGATCGCTCTGTTACTGGATTAAGCTTATTATCTGGATTTAGGCAGGCATACATGGATAAACAGAGCAGCTGTAAATAACAACCAGAAACTAATCAAAGGATAATCGAAAAATATCACTCCCTTTTCTGAGAAATAGCGTGAGGTGCTCACTCCGTTCGACTTCACTTTAGCAAAATTATCTGCGTCACCCTCTATATAGCTATGATGTTTATACAACGGAATACGACGTGGTAACTCAGGCATGATATATTGATATATATATATATACATCTCTTCTTCCTGCATAGTCATATATATAATGTTTAGTCGTATGCAAAACACTAACATGAAGCTATCTCATAAATAGTGTCGGCGGTAAAAAACGCAATCACCAGTGAACTGCCACCGTATATGAACCGGGTTGCTAAAACTAGAACCAACTGCTTAATTGAAAAAGCTCTAGTTGACGTAAAGATTGGACGAGGCTGGAACTGTGCCAGTCTACAGTAGACAACAAAGTTGTATGCCAAATAAAGTATTAGCGAATACGAAAAATCGTTAGAAGCTGTGCGCATGATAGAAAAGTCCAGGAAGAAGAGGCACTAGAGAAGCGGCCCAGTCAGCCGGCTGCCTAAAACGTGTACCAAGGCAGCGGCGTCCGAGAAACATTGCCCAGTCCGCGTGACATTGTACGGAATGCAAAGGTCGCTGACGGGGTTAGGCCTTGGTCAAACATCTTCGAACTCCATTGATGTTTAAGCATACTCATTATGATAGACATAGATATTCTTTTGCACTAGCTCACCTTTCGTCGCTTGAAGAAACTCAGCAGCCTAAGAGTAAAGATAACTAGCAACTTAGAAACGATCGGATGTATTGTGCCAGGTCAGTTGTGTTGATAGCTATAGTTCTACTTGTGTTTTGCTACAAAAAGTAACAGAAAACTTAATTGTAGGCTGTAGATGCTAACTGCTTGCGAGCTTTGTACTATTATCGATTAGGTACTTGGAGTAAGACCCTAAAAAAGCCGAGCTAATAATTGCTCATCGCGTGTAAATAAAAGTCCCTGTAACGATTTCCTTTACACACGATTTTAACTAAGTAGCTGATAATAACATACTACAGCCTCGCAAACAATGTCAAAATTACTCGGAAAAAATTGTTGAAAAAAATCCTGAGATACTAATTGGCTTCGAGAGAAACAAATGAAATAATCTGTTACTCGAAAGCTGTTTTTTTCAACTTAAAAAAATGTTCATTCATTTTAAAATACGTTTTTTCGTTTTTTTTTTTATAGTTTTTTCGTGTGTAGAGCCTAACTTCCGAAAACGTAATGTCTAAAGGGTGTACTACAATTCTGTCCTGGTAAACCGATCTAGTCTAATTCCCTTTGGAAGAGAAATCTCACTCAACTCCAATGACCTTCGGGTCAAGAATAAAGCGCCGGAAGGAAAGACAACATCTCCGGTAGACCAGTAAATACCTGAAATTCTGAAAGATAGTTGCAGAAAGGTCTGTTAAGTGAGTTTCGTCAGCAATCTGCCTTCCGGTATTATACTGCATGATGCACTGTAGAAGTCGATATTACCATGAGTTCATTTTATCGTGGCCGACGCTCTCAGCAGAATTTTCCGTTACAACCTTCTTCCAGAAGCTCGACCATATACTCAAGTCGCTCTTTTCTGTTTATGGAGTGAAAGGAAAAAAAATTCGTGATTAGAGAAAATCAGATCAAGGTCAAGTCGCTTTTATACAAAAACCAAGCAAATCAGCAGGAAGCAAGCAAACACAGTTAAAATATCTGAAAGAAGTGGAGTGGTAACACAAAGAGATGCGAAGTTGCCACAGATTCGTTAGGTTGATGGGCAGGCGTCGTTTTTGTTATTTAATACTTACAATTATGGTAAACGGCAGATAGAGCAGCGGAAGGAGCCCGTGGGCCTCTCGTCGTGTAAGTACCCTCTGCGAAGCTCTATCAATACGCCACCGCATGAGCCGGCGGCAGCCGTTTGAATAACAGACGGGAATAAAATAATCTGCTTACTTGAGTAACACCGAGGATAAATGCTACTGTTCCTGTAGCAACTACCGCGCTAGAAGAGTTTCGCTTTTGCCGGGCGTCGTTCGGTTGCTTTTTCTTACACTATGGCTAAGGGCAGGAATCAAAGCGGAAGCCAATAACAGAACGGAATTATAGGGTCGAACGGCAGACGTAGTTCTTAAAAAGCCCAAGAACGCGACAAAAATGGGCCAATTTTAAAGTAAGATCAATGTATGCATTACCATAGTAGACCGTGGCACACACCTAGTGTGGTATCGCCTCACAGTATCGCCAGTGCACATGTGGCCCGTGAAATCCGTAAATAGTATAGCATTACCTATTAAAGGTTTAAGGTTAAAGACGCAACGCCTGTTGCACGACGAAAGATTTTTCAATATCGCTCGACCCCTGAAAGCCCTTAGAAAAAGAGAATGAATGAACGAGGAAATCAGCCAGTAAATCTAGTATACGATAATGGTGTAAGATCGGTATTGCACTTATACCCCTCGCAGCTCAAAGCATTGAAGTCTAATATATAAAACGAAAAAAACATGTTCGAGTGGTATGCCATCATTGTCCGCCATCGTCTGCGTTCAAGTGGATTACTATTATTTTGAAAAATGACTAGATCGATCACGATACAACACGATATCTTCACACGGTATTTCGTATCTGTGGGCGAAAATTCTTTCCGCGGCTCACACGAGCGTCGTTGTACGTTACAGTTTTTCGATGTTCACTAGATGATACAAAGCATCATTTCTTTTTCCGCAAGTAAATAATGTTATTCCTTATCGCCCACCGTGAAAATGCTGGATTAACAATATTGAGTCGTAAACTAATGCTATGGCTAACAGCGATAAGAGGCCCCGAGGTGTTTCCGTGAAGACACTCAAACACTTCGGGGCCTCTTGCGCAACCTGTTGAAATAGAACTTCGTTGTGTCTTGGAGCATGTTTCGTCACAGGGCAGTGACGTGCCCTGCCCTAGGTAAGGCGATCTGCGAGACGTTGATGAATCAGAGTACCAACTTATCGAAGCACACGGTCTTTGCTCTTTAAACGTCTGATTGTACTACAGGACACACGTCTTACCAGTATCGCACCGTGACAAAATGAGGTGATGCAATTGATACGTCTAGTGCATTATACAGAAACAATAAATATTAACGGCGCGTCGTTTCAGTATTGTTTGTTCAATCCACCCTTCTCCGTATTACTTTCCCTATTTCACTATCAAATTTAGATTCTACCATAATCTTCATTATTTAAAAAAAAACAAATAAAGTTTACCAGAATTAAAATTGCACGGCTAACACGTGGCAGAATTTGAAAAATAACTCGTTCAGAGAAAATTGCATTTCCTGCTGCATCTGCCCCCAACGCCGCAATCTAGGGGCAATCAATAAACGCAGAGACACGCACAAATGACAACTTTGCCTCCCAGGTGAAAATTATTTAAGTATCATTAGCAGTAAAATCCTGTCAAGGTTAGAGCGGTTTATATCTGTTCGTGTTGTCACTATCGAAGCTGTGGCTGAAACTTTCTTCCTATTGACGTTCCTATTGACGCTGGCACCCCGCCTGTACAACTGTTTTTGGGAGCGGTTGCACGGTATATCTTATTAGCAAAGCAATGTTGGGACAATCGTAGTGAATATTTTCGCAGGGGTGGCGTCAACACTTTACATTGGGTCGTAGTGTTCGGATAACTTCACCAAACGCCCAGACGTGCTGCGTAATAGCAGTAATAACGGATACAACGAAAAACTGTTTTAAACACACTAATTAGATATAATAAGAATGTACGTGGCGACATCCTAAAGCAGAAAACATACATGAATATTAACATACAATTACAAATTGAAAAATCTCTTTAACAAACGAAGTTTTTCAAACAATAAAAAACAAGCTATATCAAATCAGACGCAGTATTCTCGGTCAGTAATGTAGAAATTTTCCGTTTAAAATGGAGAAATGCACTTCAATGTGTGCCTATTTGGTTTGATTTCATAATTCGAACTGGAAAAACTGCTTATTAATCGCCCACCGATGGCAACATTAATTGCAGGTTATATACACTGCGACAAATTGAAGTTGAAGAACAATTTATAATAACCATCCTTTGGTCTCTTCATTAGTCCCATCTCTGTTGTCTTCGCAGCCGTCTGCTTACGTATGAGGTACG